TAATGATGAGCACAGGGTACGACATGACATTCGAGTCAAACGCAGCACCAAGGACCATGCCTTGCACTGCGGCAGGAAAGTACCACCAAGGTACGATGGGATGGGCGCTTTAGACCATTCCGGGCATGGCAGAGTCCGAATAGTGTTGTGGGCGCCGCCTTCAGCCCTCGGACACGGAACCTGACATAGACAAACGACAACCACTATGGTCTAAGAAGAGACTCGCACCCTCTATAGTGATGAACGTACAGTCACCGCGCCGCCCGCTTCCCACAGGGCTACAGGTCAACACCCTTGTCCGACACGCCGCCCGGAGGGGCGGGACGGGACGTAACCGCTTGCTGATCCGATAAGAGCATGGCATCGTCAGGACATAGGCATCCGGCAAACGTGCCAATCCCTGACACCGTCTGGCCGTGTCAGCGAGGCTGGCTCAGCGGAAAAGGAGGACCCAACACCTTTGGAGGGGCTTCTTGGCCTCTGATTTTTTTTCTTTTCTCCAATCTATAACCCCTGCTCTCCCTTGGTGTATAAAAGGGAGTGCAGGCCCCCCACTAAGGAGGACTCTCGACCGACACAACTCAACAACACACATCACACACAACTGAGCAGCGACCAAGCTCTCGGTGACCTTTTGACCAATCCATCAGAGACTTGGGACTCGTCCCTCTCTCGACCATTTGTACCCCCTACTACGAACCATTTTCGGTACTAATAACACGAGCAGCAGCAGACTGGACGTAGGGACGTTCAGCCCGAACCAGTATAAACCTCGTGTCCTTTAGTGCACCATCCGGGCCTAACGCGCATCAATTATAAATTTACTAGCCGGTGTTTGTTCGAAACACCGACACTTACGTAGTATAATTGAGTACTCAGGGTTTGTTCTACTCTCGGGTGGATGCTAGAGCTGACACTTGTGTGTGTGGAAACCTTCTTATGGGCTCAGTGAGGATTTCCTTAACGTTGCGGACATAGAGTTTATTTGAAACTTCCACCCAAAATATTTTACAATGGATAAACTTATAACATGTTATGAGGTATATAACGGATCATCACGTTAATCTTTAACTTGCCATTAAATGATGTTATTTTCACTGAAAGTTTGATAACATGGTTATATTCCGCTGTTATAAACTATAAATATTATACTCTGATGTTGCATGGAAGGTGATGTAAGAAATGGCTAAAACATTGTAAGCTTTATTCTCCCATTTATGATCCTGTTGAAAAATGTGGATTTTCGGGTTCTCCCATGGGGTGTGCTCGACGGAACTGTTTAAATTAGCTCACTCTCAGAGTGCTTAGTGTCTGATGGAAGACAAGCACCTCCAGAAGTGAGTTATTTCGAACGGTTCTACCATAATATGTGATGAGTGATGTGTCCTTTTTCAAAAAATCTTCACAGGAGCTTCCAAAATGAGAGCATGTCAGGCTATCGCCTACCAGCACAAGGCAAAGTTCGCAAACTTTGAACGGAGCTTCATCCTGGCGGGGAAACTCAAGAGATGGCGGCAAATGACTGAACGACATCGTCATGTGGCGCTAGCACGCTACTAGCCTACTGCTTTCGAATTTGCAACGGCTACTAAACTACTCCGTACATCGACCAATAAAGACCCATCGGCCGTAGCAGAAAGCCAGAAACTAACCAAATGCACAATGTTCAATATTGGATCATATATTGGCTTAACAGGCACCAAAAAGCTTGACTAAGGGCACCATCATCTAGTAAGCCAAGCTACAAAGACATAACTAATTCCAAGCGATAGGCAGCACGAATGAAAATAAATTTCTGAATTTGCCACTGCATATTGTCTATGCTAATCCACTCCCTGACCTACCCTAACTGCTAATATCCGGATCTGAGATCCCGATATTGATGTGGCCCGTCCATAAACCCCCTTATATGAAACCTTCCAAGTTCATGACACCTAATGATATTGATCCTCTTGTCGGGGTCTTCGGTTTCCTTGTTTTTTCTACTCAAACCGTAGCCCCACAAATCTATAAACCACCTAAGGATGTGCTTCTCTCTCATGTACGCATAAAAAAGGGATGATGCTGTATTGTTAGCCGGTCGGGTAGATGTGCTCGAGGCAAGGATGGCAACGGGGCGGTTTCGGGTCGGATATCCGCGGGTTTCGGGTCTTGCGGGTTCGGGTTTGGGGATGATTTCTCGCCCACGGTTTTCGAGTTCGGGGCCCTAAAACCAATCGGGTTCGGTTTCGGGTTTGGTTTTCCACCCGTGGATATCCAATGGATATCTGAAATAAATCATTTAGAATTAAAACTCATGTTTTATAATATGCTAATAATAACTTATTTACTTATATTATTAAATTTATTCTAAGTTGACTCATGAAAATATTTATTATTTGTTGCCTCTTGTTTATACATGTGAATATGTGTATATATATCGTGCATATGTTTATAGAAAGTTTTATTTCTCTTACTATGTTGCCATACAAAACGGGTTTCGGGTATCCATTCGGGTTTCAGGTATCCGCGGGTTCGGTTTTTGGGACAGATTATCACCGAATCGGTGTTCGGTGCGGTTTTGGGTTTCGATTTTGGGTTTCGGGTTCGGGTGCACAGAGACTTCACCCGATCCGAATCCACCCCGTTGCCATCCCTAGCTCGAGGTCATCCTCCTCTCCCTTAGACACTGATAGGAGCATTATATCAAGAGCAAAATGTGTTTATCGAGATGTCTACATGTACATCGTCATGTTTATATCAACTTGTTAATCCATGTTGTGATCACTACCACCGCCACTCAGGTTTAGATTTCGGTACGGTATTATCTATTATGGTTGAATTTCTAAGTTTTCGATGATATTTTAATAGAGCTTTCCATGCTATGCGAACTCTTGAGTATTTCGAACCTTGGTAATAAGTACTTTATATGATTATGTATATCCACAAAATGAGTAGGAAGTCATGAAATAGCTTAACAACGAAATGTGTTCAAGAGTCTCTAGTTGAAAGAAGACGATGCAAGCCAGAGTTTAGGATTTCAATACGTTTCTTTTATCTGTCATAGTCTCAAACTTCGAATTTCATAAAATCCGACCAACAAATTAGGAGACTTTGATCCCTGCCACCAACCCTTCTACCACTCGCCATGTAAATGCACCACTCATCAACATCGAACGCCGATCTAATACTATCAATAATTTCTTCTTGTTTGCACTTTGAATTGTTGGGAGCAATGATAAGGGGCAAAATAAGAGGTAAGCCAAAAGAAGTAAACATTTCTTATAATTTCTCCAAACTCTACCTTGAAACAGTTGGAAACCCAGTTAAGTTGTGCCTAAAGGGATATGGAGATTTCTTCTGCCCTAAAATCTTTCTATTTTTAGACAATAGATCATAGTGGTCGGATTTTATTCCTAATCCTAACAAGTCTCTTAAGTACTCCGTAAGGCCGTCTCCAACGGAAGACCTATTGCGGAACCCAAACCCAAAATGGGTCTCCAACACAATACCTATAGCCTCCAATAGAGTATCTATATGGAAGATCCATTTTGGTGCCGGGAGAGGCATAACCTAAATCTGAGTATCCTCTCTCCTGGAGACCCATTTGCAGAAAGGGTTGTCTTTTGGGTCTTGTTGTCGGAAAAGACCAAAAATAGGTATTGAACCCTTTGCCTGTAGCGCTACCCAAAAGATGAATGGGTCTTGTATTTTAGGTCGCGGTTGTTGGTGACAGTCTAACTCCCTTGTTGTTTAGATAACTCCTTCGACGCACATTTGTGTGTTCTTGTCTCTCTACCCCGAACTGCCGTAGCCGTTGCCACATCTGATATTTCATTGTAACGTAATGGTTCACTGACAACTACAAAACCGAAACCAGCTCCCCACATGTCTTATTCACCAATGATTTGTCGCCTCTACTCGAGCCTCCAACTTCATATTTGGCCACTGACATCACCAATCCCATCGCAATCCATCTCTAACAAGCCTCATCTAGTCATCGCGGAGCAGGGGTCATCAGTTTCAAAAAAAAAAAGATCTCTATGCGACCCATTGTTGGAAAGTATAAAACCCTAAAATCTCACATCAACCCTCTTTATCGGGAAAGATGAGTCGTTCATTAGACAAGACGCTACGTCCTCTAAGAAGATGTGAGCCCAGCCACAACTGTGAGTCATGTGCCGAATATCGTGTGTACAAATTTTACACGACCAAACTAAAAAAGGTAAATATCTAGTATTTCTATTTGCACACGTGGAGGAAAAGTTTGTCAGCAACATGGACCGTTTTCGAGGGATCAACAACTCCATCGTCTAGAAATATAACGGGATTTACTCGCGAACCTATATGTATAAGTGTTAGCAAAGCTAGGTAGACGGTAGTAACCACCGATGTAGCCATGTAGGCAACAAAAGCGAGCAATGAGCACGCTTTTAAAGAGAAGCACGCAGTACGCTTTTAGCCACTTAGCACGATGGAGAATTTTTAGCTGTTTATATGGGGCAAAAATATTCTGTTTGCCTTGATGAATCTTTTCCCCTTGTGGGCTGATTGGACAATATCCATCCACATTTTTTCCCCATTTTGAAATTTTTTCAATCTAAAGGCACTTCCCATGCTGCTGTTCCATCCACATTTTTTCCCCATTTTTGAAATTAAAGCAAGGCACTTCCCATGTCACTCACGTTTTCCCTCCCGGCTCCATGGCCATTCCATTCTTCTGCAGGTAAGTGGAGGGGAGCAGTACAGAGTACTAACCGAAAGGACTAGTAGCAGCAACTCTCAACGCCCAACCCCGAGGAATACGAGCCCTCTTCCTCTCCCTCTCCTCCCGCACCTTCCTGCCCTTCCCCTTCCTCTCCCCCGCTCCCCCCAAATCCGCGGCCCCTCGCAATCCCCAATCGCGCGCCGCCGCCGATCCCGCCGCGACCCAGGCCCTCGCGCCCGATCCGCCGCCGCGCTGGCCTCCCCGCGCCCTCCCCAAACCCTAGGTAGGTAGGGGGGTTGCTGCGCGCGGAGGGATGGAGGCGCTGGTGGGGCGGGCCGTGCGGAAGGCGTTCCCGGGGTACGGCACCTTCGCGGGCGTCGTGGAGTCGTACGACCCCGGCGCGGGATACTTCCGCGTGCTCTACGAGGACGGAGACTCCGAGGAGGTCGACGCCGACGGGATGGCCGAGATTCTCGTCGGTCCCGCGATGCCGAGCGCTCTGCAGCAGCTGCAACACACCCCGCCGCGGGACGCCGCCGGGAGGCGCCCCAAGAAGCGCCGCCGCGGGGACGGCGACGGCGACGAGGACGACACATCCCCGACCCCGACCACGAACCCGAGCCCCGACTGCGTCGTGCTGGCCGTCCCCGCCACCGCGAGTGAGGATACCGAGCCCGCGACGCCCGCCGAGGGGGCCGCGGCGGAGAAGAAGCGGAGGGTCAGCCCCGGGCCTGAGTCGTCCAGGCCGCCGCGGCGGAGCGCGCGGCAGGCGAAGGCGGCCGAGCGCGTGGCCGAGATGGAGGCGGCGGCGGCCGTGGCGGCTGCCGCGGAGGCCGAGGAGGAGGCTGCTGCGGCAGCTGTGGCTGCGGCTTCGACGCCGCAGCAGTCTGGGAGGAAGCGGCCCCGCGTGACCGGGAGTGGACGGTACCGCTCCGTGTCCAGGGATTTGCAGGAGGCCGCGGTGAAGGAACTGCCGCCCAAGCCGGAGCTGCCACCCTCGTCGCAGAGTCTGGATTTGGGCGGCCTCCCTGTTCTCGATGTCTTTCAAGTCTACTCCTGCTTAAGGTCATTCAGCAGGCAGTTGTTCCTCGGCCCGTTTTCACTGGAGACATTTGTGGCTGCGCTGCGGTCCACCAATGTCAACCCGTTGATTGACTGGGTGCATTTCGCTCTGCTGCGGGCTCTCAAGAGCCACCTGGAGGATTTCGCCAATGAAGGAGACCCGTCGGCAGTACACTGCATTAGGTAACATGTGTTTTGCTGTATACTAAGCTTAGAGACCACTACCTGATTGAAAAATATTTTTTTGTAGTTACCCACTATTGTCTTTGTAGGAATCTTAACTGGGAGCTGTTAGACCTAGCAACTTGGCCAATCTATCTTGCTGAATACTTGCTAACCAGGGGCACAGAATTGAGGTATGGTATGAAGCTTACAGATTTAAGTCTGCTGAGTACAGGGTACTATAGGCAGCCCGCAGGGGTAAAACTTGAGCTACTGCGACCACTCTCTGATGATGTTCTGGAGATTGGGGCTATACGGTCAAGGTTGTCAGAGTCAGATGGAAACGATGAGGGCTTCCGAGGCACTGCTGTAAGAAGAAAAAAGAGGGGCTCTTCTGCTAAGGTTGCAGTGGATTCTTCTCAATTTCCAGAAGGATCTGCTGAAATGGATGATGGAAACAGTGATGAATGTTACCTTTGTGGGATGGATGGCAATTTGTTATGCTGTGATGGCTGTCCAGCTGCATTTCATTCGAAATGTGTCGGGGTGGTGGAGGATCTTTTGCCTGAAGGTGATTGGTATTGTCCCGAGTGCTTAATACAGAAGAATGATGGATCTAGAAATATTGCAAATCCTATGAGAGGAGCAGAGATTCTAGGAACCGATCCACACGGCCGACTATACTTTTTCACTTGCGGCTATCTTTTGGTGTAAGTCGCCTTGAACCGCTTACATGTATATCTTTCTGAACGATCTTTTGGGGCTCTGGTGTGCTTTTTTGAATGCCCGTCTGCTATATGCCCTCCTGTATTTTTCGAAAATCTAAGTGTAGCGATTATGTTACTCTGGTGCACTACCATTCAGATTATCAAGCCACCTAGGATCTAGGTAGAATGATGTAAGCGGTTGCATTTTTCTCTTGTCTATGAGCTTCACATAGGATGCTCTGTTTGTCTTGTTAGTTCTGGGTGGCTCCTTTCCATAGAACATGTAAGCTGGAACAATGATATGATTCTGTCTATACTAGCTGCTTGTGACATGTGAGCCTCGGCATACATTGTAGAATTAGCAATTGGTCCACTTTCGACTTGCTAGGTAGAGCATACATATTTATTATTTTTCTTGCTTGGAGGTTTGAGAAGGGCGGGCCTGGTGCAAGCGGTAGAGTCTTACCGCCTGTGACCGGAAGGTCCCGGGTTCGAGTTGCAGTCTCCTCGCATTGCACAGGCGAGGGTAAGGCTTGCCACTGACACCCTTCCCCAGACCCCGCACAGAGCGGGAGCTCTCTGCACTAGGTACGCCCTTCTTGCTTGGAGGTTTGAGGCAAAGCTGGGCTTACTGATGAAACCAAAGGTTTGGTCATACCTTGATGTTCTATGAGACCACAGTAAAAATATAGTTTCTGTGCTATAGACAAAAACACTTTTTTTTGGTAGAAGTAAAACTATACTGTATTAAGATTCTCTGGAATGAAACAATGAAATTCCTGTGATACTCTGATTTAGTAAGCCAGTTGTTATGAAACTGTAGGCTCATTAATTTAAGGGTGTGCAGAGAAGTGTACTATTTATATTGCAGAAGTGAGACATGATTTGTTTACTTTCGGATCTTTCCTGTATCGAATGATTACTCCTTGCTGCATTAATAAACAAATCACCTTCTGAACTTGCAGGGTTGACTCATGTGATGGGAACTCTCCATGTTATTATTATGGTCAGATCGATCTTCATCCCCTTGTTACAGTTTTGAACGCATGTCATCCTTTATACAGCTCAATGGTTAACACAATTTCTTCATTTTGTGGTACTGCAATCAAGTCATCCAATCTTAGCAGTCGTTACCAGAGTAGCAGGGAATGTAGTACATCTGATGCTGAGACAGACTCAAAACATTTATCACTATTGAAGGAGCCTAGTGAGCATGATCAGTTTAAGGTAGAACAAGGAAACTCCTTTGAACACTTGGATTCTGGAAAAGCTTGCACCTCAAATTCTGATGATTTGGATCAAGATTTGTCACAGCATAGCATTAAACTAAGATCTTCACTTATGTCTCGAAGTGGAAATGCTGCTGAAGGTGATTCGAATCAAATACCTCAAAATAGATCCTCTAGTGATAAGAATGATAACTGCAATTCCCAAAAAGATATTGTTTATTCACATGCTAATGGTTCGCTTGCAGAGAATCAGAAAGATTCACCACCTAAGGAAAAACCAAGAGATTGGCAGGTCCATTCTGATCCTGCTAGGTACATAAACTATTACAGTTTCGGTCAAATAGCAGCTAACGCTGCCGAAGAGCTAAAACACAAGCTGTCTGAAAACAAGGACGGGAAGAAACCTGTTCAGGATGTACTCTCGTTCCATCTGAGAACAATATGTAAAAAGTATGCTAACATTTTTGCACTAACTGATCAAAAGCTTTCTGCTGAACTGCTTAAAGAAAAATGTGGATGGTGCAATTCCTGCCAAATTAGTGGCGGCGTCGATTGCATTTTCAGAGTAACTGATATTAAGTACATGGAAGGCCCTAAGCCACATACTCTTGATCTCAGAGCAGAAAATAATATGGATAGCCATATCATCCTTGCTATGCATAACATTTTGTCAATTGAAGAAAGGTTGAATGGTTTGCTGAGTGGCCCTTGGCAAAATCCACAATATAGCATTTGTTGGCGCAAGGCGGTCCTCAAGGCTTCAGATGTGTCATCACTTAAGCAGCCTCTTCTAACGGTATAACTTGTCATATGCTTCATCATATATATTTTTTTAATTATGTGTGCCATATAATGATACATGTTTTTTTTCGGCTTATACTCTGCAGTTAGAGTCTAGTCTGCGACGTGTTGCCATTACTGCAGAATGGCAGAAACCGGCAGACTCTGTTGAAGTTGTTGGTTCGGCAGCTCATATCTTGGTCCGCTCGTCTAATAAATCTCTAAGTCATGGAAGTGCTAGAAAGCCAGGGAGAAAGCCGTCTCCTAATGGTGAACTTAAAGTTGACTCTCGTGATGTTGGTGTTTATTGGTGGAGGGGTGGAAAATTATCTCGTCAAGTGTTTCATTGGAAGAGGTTGCCTCAGTCATTGGTCAACAAAGCTGCTCGGCAAGGTTTATGAGCAATCTTCTGTCCATTTTGGTTTTTCTAGCATTGTATTTGCACCTAACCTTTTTTTGACCTGGTACGCTTCAGCTGGACGTAGGAAAATTCCCACGATTTTATACACCGATGGTTCACAATTTGCGCGGAGGTTCAAATACATAGCCTGGCAAGCTGCTGTGGAAATGGCAGAAAATGCGGCCCAGCTCATTTTGCAGGTGATATCTTCTCCTTGCTTTGGAAAACAATAGGTAAAATTTGGTCACTGAATTGTTCTCCTTTGTGCACTTCAGATTAAAGAACTTGAATGGAATATCAAGTGGACTGAGATACTGAGCACTCTCCCTTCTAGCCTCATGACCAAAGAAACACAGAAAATAGCTAGGCTTTTTAAGAAAGTTATAATTCGCAGGAAACGCATTGAAGGAACAAATGTTGAATATCTGCTTGATTTTGGAAAGAGGGAGAACATTCCTCCTGTTATTTCTAAACATGGAACAAAACTTGAGGAACCCTCCAGCGAGAGGAACAGGTACTGGTTAAGTGAAGGCCATGTCCCTCTGAATCTGTTGAAGGCTTATGAGGCTAAAACATTTGCTCGTTTACTGAAAAAGAAAGAAACTGATGAACTACCTAAGAAGACTAAGAAAATGCGTGTCCCGAAACCCGAAATGCCAAGAAAGACAGGCTTTGATTACCTCTTTGAAAAAGCAGAAAAAAGATCCACCATGTTTTGTGGTCATTGCCACAAAGAAGTGATTGCAAGGTAAGCCACAGACGATTAGTTTTATACTTATCCCTTTTAATAGTTCCTTTAATTTATTTTCTGAACCACACAATACTCATCGTATCAATTATTAGTAGCTATAGGCAAAGGTTTATTTCAGTTCAAACATACTTGTGGACACTACATTTCATCCAAGCTGTGAACTTTATAGGTCTTAGTTTTATTTTTCTGATATTTTGTTGTGCTGATATCTGTTGCTTCTCACTTTGATGCATGTGAGTGATGTGCTTATGGTAAGGTTTAATTCTCACTGTCAGAATGCGTACATGTTAAAGAAATAGTACATGCAGATTAGGGCCTTAGCACAGTGACATTAACTCCTTTATGCTTTGCCTCATAAACTGATCATCTCTGGACGTTTTCAGTTTGGCTTTCAGATACAATCGTTATCAATGTTTTCAGATCGTATTATCGAGGCTAGTCGTATGACCACCGATAAGTCGATAAGGGACGATTAGTCGGTCCTAATCGGTCTAATCGGCTAGTCGGACATTTAGTCGTCCTTGTGCCTAGATGGCATGATCGACCATGTATATACTATATATATATATGATGTAAATATATGTAAACATGGCAGAGGAGGCAGAGTGGTGGCTCATCTTGATGCTGCGGACGCCGGCGAGAGGCGCGGACGGAGCTGCAGACTAGAAGGTCGGAGAAGGAGGAGGTGGCGAGCTAGTTCAGGCCGTGGAGTGCCCTCTGCTCTACCGCCCACTGTGCCTCGCGCTCGCCCTTGCCGCAGTCCTTGTTCGTGAACGCCGTCCGCGCGAGACAGGGGAGGAGACAGGCGAGGTGGCGCTCGGGGTCGTGCTCCAGGAGCTTGCTCTCGTAGATCGTCCGCACCCTGGCGCTTGACCGACGGAGCTGCGCTGGCGGACGAGCTGCGCCGGCGGACGGAGCTGCAGGCCGCGGACGGAGCTGCGCCGGCGGATGAGCTGCGCCGGCGGATGGAGCTGCGCCGCTGCGGACGAGCTGCGCTGGCGGACGGAGCTGCGCCTCTGCGGACGGAGCTGCAGGCCGCGGACGGAGCTGCGCCGCTGCGGACGGAGCTGCGAGAGAGAGCAGAGCCAGAGCGAGAGAGAAATGTGCCGTGTGCGGCGGCTGCAGCCAGCTCCTTCACTCGTCAGTCGTCACTCAGACACTCACTCTTATCTTACCCTAATGGGCCAGCTATTAGGTGGGCCGAATTCTTTAGCTGGGCCGAATTCTTTAGCTGAATATACTGGCCCAACTAGTCGTCATGTGTGTCGGATCGGACGACTAATCGTGATTAGTCGCAACTTATCGGACGATAAGGTTTCTAATCGGTCCAAACTAATCGAGGACCCTTATCGAGCACCTTTTTACGATAAGGACGACTAATCACGATTAATCGTGATTAGTCGTCCGATCTGTAATCATTGATCGTTATACTTATTTTTTTATTGCGATGTTATCAGCCATACGTGAATAAACTTCTTACATGACTGCACTGTTCTGAGTTAGATATTAGTATTTGTTTTCTAAATAATCTAGGTGCACAATTACCAATCAAACTATTGGTGCTATTTCTCTAGAAGCCATTCAAATGAGCAAATACTCTTGAAAACTTGTTAGGATGTACATAGAAACCATGTATTGGCATTTTCATTCTTGCAGCTATTGATTTGTCCAATAAGTTTTTGCAATTATGTTCTCAGTTTGGCAATATATATACAATTTGGTTTCTGTTGCATGGAAAAATCTTTTTACTAGTTCTGATTCTTTCTCTCTTTTTTTTCAACAGTGAAGCTGTTAACTGCCAGTATTGTGCAGGTATGTGCTGTTGCAAATAGTGAACTTTTTTTTGTTTTGTTTTGCATATGCACAACTATAGGCCTCAAGATTTTATTTTTGATATGCACTTTCTTCTGTGGTATCCTATGATTGTTGTTGAATAAAAAAAGTTGTTATTGACTGTTAGTCTTACTCTAGACAACCATCAGCTATTGAGTTTTTCCTATTACTTTGGTTATTGACGCTTAAAATTATATTGGGAGTTATTGCACAGTGTTTGCCACTTATCTTTATCTTATTTTCTTATTCGATGCAGCTATTTTCCATAGAAAACATTTCAAGGTCCCTAGAGGTGCTAGAAATGCTGTTTATGTTTGCAATAAGTGCTTAGATGAGATGGTCTTAAAGGTGGAGTCTCCTCAGAAAAAGGCTGCACCAAAGAAGCCATCTCCCAAAAAGAAGCAGAAGAAACAAAATAAGCAGAAGAAACAAAAGAAGCAATCACGCAAGATTGAGACCAGGAGGAATCAGATAGTTCTGAAATACAAAAAGAAAATTGGCAAAAAGGGTAAGCGTGGCCGGCCCAGGAAGAACCCACCAGGTCTGTCAAAGAATGAATCATCAAAGATTCTTGAAAGTGAACCATCAAATGTTTCCAAAAATGAACCAGTGAAACGTATATCAAAACGATTGTATGATAAATACATGAAAGGTAACACAAATGTATCCGAGAATGCAGCTAGCTCTCGCAAGAGGAAGAGGACTGCTTCGCAGTATTCATACTGGTTGAATGGCCTCCGATGGACACAAAATCCACATGATGAACGGGCAATAAGTTTTAGGAAAGAAAGAGTAGTTTTTCCATCAGAAGATGCTGAAATTTCTGAAGTCAGCCCAGTATGCTGCTTGTGTGAGAAATGCTATTGTGAAGATGATATTTATATTGCCTGCGAAAAATGTGAAGGTAAGCATGTTTTACTTGCATGGCATATCTTTGATCTTAGAGCAACTAGCAATTGTGTGAGCTAAAAGATTATAGTCTTCTTTTTGGGAGGACATACAAATTTATGTGTTCCGTCCTCTTTGGAATTACTAGCTCTTACCCTGTCTGTTTTTTTAGCCTTGGCATGGGTCTTATGGAAAGTCCACATTTTTCTGTCTCCTTACGAAAGTTCAGTTACTACTACCTCCATTGCATGCAGCTTGCCAATTTTGACCAATTTTACATTCTAATTTGGCACTGTCTTTCCGAGTGCATCATTTTCTAATTTTGCCCTTGTGATTAATCGAGATGTGTAGCTGTGCCAGTGTTAATCACCTGTAGTCCAGACTCCAGAGTATGGCAGTCTTTTTTTAGATGAAAAAACAAAATCTGCAGTAACATGGGCACCAACGAGATGGCTTGTATGCTTGCACATTTCCTGAGAACGGAAGAAAATGTTTTCAGTTAGCACCGCCGTTAGTTTGGGCTGCTGTCATAAAGTATCCAGAGCACCCCATGCTACAAGTTTCAAATGTTGGTACGTAGTGTTCCATAGTTTGGAAAGAAAATCATCAGTCTTAGAAAAAAAAAACAAAAGTTATGGTGACTGGCACCAATGAGATGGTTTGTGTGCTTGCACATATCCTGAGAATGGAAGAAAGCATATTTCAGCTGGCACCCCCAATTACTTTGGGCAGCTGTTACAAGGGTAAAATTTTCCAACCCAACTGAGCGCCTAAATATGCACGTATTGGTTCAAGTGCCATATGTTGTGTAAGGATGGATTGTTTCGTTGAGCGATTCTCTTTCTGAAATCATCCATGGTGACTAATCAGCAGCTAATTGATCATTGGAAAATATAGCAAGCTTTAAATGGAGTGGATGCAAGTTGCTATGTCTCCTCAAAATCCTGTAATGTTTAACAATAGAAAACACTTTTGAAGGGACAAAACGACAAAATAAAAGAGCAATGTGGTAATCTCCTTCTCTTCAGTGCTACTTCAAGTAACTTCTGTTTTGTGTTTTGTCTATGCAAAGGAGCATCCTTCCTTGTGTCATCCTACACATTAATTTGAATGAATTGCAAAAGTGCATTGTTTGCATAGTAGTACTAGATAGTTGAAAATATGTTTTCAAAATTTGTGGTTTCACTTCATGGAGAGCATAGGAGCACTAGTCGACAACTATCATTGTTTCAGTTTTACATGTCTGATGTTTATGATTTTACATTGTTGCTCTTTATGTCATGGGTAGCTTTCATATTTTGCATCCTATAATCCTTATTACATTTGCTTTTTCTTTCAGACTGGTTTCATGGGGATATATTTTCTGTTACTATTGAGAACGTGAACAATCTCATTGGTTTCAAGTGCCATAGATGCCGCCTGAGAAGTCTACCTGTCTGCCCATATGCAGAGACTGTAACAATTCTCAAAGGTCAGTCAGATAAGGATCATGGCATCAAGTTTGTAGATCACAGTGTTGACAAGTTCGTGGAGGATGAGGATCCCAATTGTCCAAAAGATCTTGGTGCTCTGGGTATTCTGCAAGAGCTTCATGATCATGACATCGAGCGAAGGCTCAATGGTCATATTACTGAGATAGAATTCAGTTACAATAACTGTCTAGAGGAGTTGAATGATCATGGCAGTTTGAAAGAGTTTGATGCTCATAGCACTGAGAAAGATCCGGAGGATGATAAAAGTTTGAAAAAGGTAGACACCAATAATGAGTTGAAGGAGCTTGATGATCCTGGCTCCGAGAAAGAACCTGGTGATCATTATTGTCCAAAAGATCTCAACAGTCACATCAATCTGAAAGACCTTGACAACAGTAGGACTGACAAAGAGATTAAGAATGATAATTGTCTGAATGAACTAGATGGAGACAACAATTGGAAACAGTTTGATGCTCATAGCACTGAGAAAGATCCGGATGATGATAAAAGTTTGAAAAAGGTAGACACCCATAATGAGTTGAAGGAGCTTGACGATCCTGGCTGCGAGAAAGAACCTGGTGATCATTTTTGTCCAAAAGATCTCAACAGTGACACCAATCTGAAAGATCTTGACAACTGCAGGACTGACAAATAGATTAAGAATAATAATTGTCTGAATGAACTAGATGGAAACAACAATTGGAAAGCACTCGACAGCCATAACAGTCAAGAGGAGCTTGACACTACAAATAGCAAGTTTTCTCCTAAAGAAATACAATGTCCTATGGAACTCGATGGTTTTAGTAGCCTGAAGGTTGTTGATCATAACGTTTTGGAAGAGCTTGATAATCATAACTGTCTAAAAGAGAGTGTTAATAAAAATAGTTCTAAAGAGCTAGACAATAATGAAAGTCCAAAAGATTCAGGTGACTTTCTAGCAGAACACTTCAACAACATTAGGATATCTGGCAAAGAGGCACTGGTCAGTACACCTGAAACTGATTCAGTAAATGAATCTCTTGGTTTGCAATCCAAGGATGATTCTGGGAAGACTGTTCCTACTGGGCATGAGATTGACCTTCAGGTGGTGGTGACTTTATAATGTACCTTCGTCAGTCAGAAGAAACCTTCCAGCCTCAGCATGAGTGCCCTTAGCTCCACTGGTCATTTCTTGGTGTTGCTCTGGTTGAAAATTCCGTTGACTGTCAACTTAAATTGTCGCATTGCAGTAATCTACAATAAGGAAAAAAGCTATTTTTGGATTTCCTTTGGGAAATATTCTGATCTGACTGGCCAAGCGATAGAATAATTAACTCTTGAGGCTAAGCTATGTTATTCTCAATACTCAATAGGGCTGACATAGGGAATAGTTAGGGCCAAATTTCCTTCCCACGTTTCACATTGCCTGTCAGAATATGGAGTCATGTTCCCCAAGATTATGCATTGATTTGAATATATCTAAGTACAAGTGGCTGGTATTTGGCTGCCCTGCAGAAATATATGATATTCAAGGTGAGTCTCAATTTTGTGTTACATATATCTGTTCCTTGGAACATTTGACATGTTTCCCTTGTACTGTCCCCCCCTGTTCTGGCCGACCTACTTATCGCAATGTCTGAGTTTAAGGTTGTGAAATTTTCTAGGTGGTGCATTTAAGCAAGCATGCATAACATAGATGGAAGAACGACGTAGTATCTGTTTCCACCTTCTCGAGAGAATGACATGTTCATTTCATCCTGCCCTTTTTTCTGAAACAAGTCACTAATGGAGTAATGGACAGCACCACATATTACAAATGTGACGTGCATATTTTCTTTCCGTTTTATCGACCTTTTGACCTGTTTATAGTAATAACATATACCAAATTACCAAGTCATCAAATTTGCAAAAGCACAGTTTATCAAAGTCTTTTCAGTTGGCACTCATCTAGTTTATTCTCCATGTAAACAGGGAGATAGCAGTCACAACCGCCGCTAAGCATGAGGAGGCATATCCCTTTCCCCATGATTTCTTTTTGTGGACTTAGATATTGCACCAGATCGACAAGCCAACCTGATGATTCATTCTTTCAACTTGCTCCTAACAGTCAGTTGCAATCGTTAATTTGTTATCTGTAAATGCTACAAGGGAACTCGTCTTGACAGAGTTAAGTAGATTTTGTATAGGTTTGCATTAGCCTTCTAGTTAGAGAGTTAACTCTAGCATTAGCCTTCTAGTTAGAGAGTTAACTCTAGCATGGAATCGGTTTGGACAATGCTGTTTTGCTCCCCTGGTTACATCCCGCTTCAGTGACGTTATAGAAGCTAACAATCCACCAATACTGGGTAGATGTATATCAATCTGCTAGGTTATGATCAATTCTTCGCGGCATTGCGCGTGTTCTTTTGGTACAGAGCGGGTCTTGTTTAGTTGCCGCTTCCAAAATTCTGTAATTCCATTTGTGGCTGGAAGAGTTGTTCTGTGGGTAGAAGATGCTAAATCGCGGTTGGTAGCTGGCCGCTGGCAGGGGTTGATATAGAGCCAGCTTGGTTGGTGTGACTTGTTAGGATAACGATAATGAGCTGGCTTAGCTTCTTATCTTAACGAGCTGGAACTCTGGCTTGGCTCAGGCTTGGTCGATTTGGTCTGAGCAAGCTTGGCTTGGCTAGATTATCTTTGTAACCTTAACGAGCTGGAACTCTGTCTCGGCTCAGGTTTTTTTTATCTCGGCTCGGCTCATGTTTGGCTCATTTACTAGCTTGAGCTGGCTTGTTTAGTTTTACGTTTTGTTTTGTTTTTGAGAAACGCTTGTTATTGCAATAGGATCTGTGCGGTGACCAAATTTTGATTTAGAAAAGGAGAAACCTAGTAATTCTGTCTCCATGGGCCTCCTTGGAAGGGCCTCCACCTTGTACCTGTAGCTGCAAAGATACACAGGAAACAAAACACACCCGTAAAGATTGGTGAGTTCTTCCTGAGCAGGCGCACACGAGGTGTTGAAAGCCGCCCCTTAGCAATGGGAACGGAATACTTAGTTTGAGGAGGAACGATTGATGAGGAAAGAAAAAAAAAGTAGTTAAGTAAAAAAAAAAGTAGTAGTTGTTCCCCGACCAATGGTGGTGCTGAATCTATTTCACTTTTCAAGTTCCTCTTAAAACATGTATAGTAATCTCGTTGGCCAAAGTCAACGGGACAAACGCTGAATAGCAACTACTACCTCCGTTCTATTTTATCTGGCGCACACGCATATCAAGATTCAAACTTTAAAAACTCCGACCAATAATTAAGCTAATAGTTTTCAACTATTATAATATAAACTTTATATGATTAGATTTGTAATGAATTATACTATCCAATTATTATAAGTTTCTAAGCATAAATAATATAATATAAAACAAAGAATGGTTAAAGTGTAATTTAGAAGACCGTGTCATTCTAACTTGCGCCAGATAAAATGGAATGGCGGGAGTAGCATTTTGTTTTTTCATTTGAGTTCGTGTTCGAATGTTTTTTGTTTTTTGTTGGAAAACCAATGCCGGCGTCAAGATCTGTCTCCTTTCTCTTTTGTTTTGGGAGTAGAGCTAAAAAAGGGAAATTCCAATGATTCTTCGTTTATTACGATGTTGATTCCTCATAATCGCTCTTTATGATGTTGCGGAACCATGGCAATTAGGATCTCAAGACGCAACAACACCTATGATGCAAGTAAAGTGTTAGGAAAAAGTCTAATTTATCTCCTTCAACTATCACGGTTGTCAGATTTTTTCTTTCTGATCTACAAAATCAGTTTTTTTAACCCTTCTCAATTTTAATAGCAGTTCATTTTTGCACTATGAGTACTTTTGATGGCGGTTTTATTTTGCTTGTGAAAAATTTATCCAAATATTTTTCTTGGAAAAAATAATGCAATTAAAATTTCATAGAAATTTTGTTTTAACTTGGAAAATTATGAAACTAGTTTTAGATTTTTTTTCCTAAAATCATGCTATGCCTTATGCCTAGCTTAAATTTGTTTGAATTTTGATGGACATATTTTGGTGCTTGTTTACTAGTAAAAGCTCTCGCTATCTACTATAATTAGTCGATGTTGAACCTTGATGGACACGTTTAAGTGCTTATGTGTGGCAGGATGCATGCAACCACTCAGGCTAAAGCATTTACTTTGAAAAGTTATCCAGGGTAGAGAACCATTGGCCTATATATAAGTAATTGAACTAGGTGCTGAGGCTAGAAACAAGATGAATTATTATTGGTGGCCAGGTTGGTGGGTGAAGACACTGAAGAATGGAAGTCACTCGGTCAGTCCTTGCATCTACACCTTACCTATAAATAGCTACCTCCTCAGTCCTCATGGTGCCTTGAGCTGTGAACAATGAGCGATATTGTCGGGGACCAATAGTAGGGTACCCGAAGAGGAAAAACTAATAACCATCAACGTTGATTCATCCGAGCGGTCAAGAGCGCGACTACACCTTTTGCTGGGCTCTGCCTCGTCCGACCCCCGAGGGTGGGCTCCGCCTCGGTGGACGCTGAGGCCGTGGGCTCCACCTCGCCCGACCCCCGAGGGTTGGGCTCCGCCTCGCCCGACATCTGAGGGCTGGCTCCGCCTCGCTCGACGTCTGAAAGCTGGCTCCGTCTCGCCCGACGTCTGAGGGCTAGCTCCGCCTCGCCCGACCTCTATCAATTAGGGTTATCCGAACAAGATCACGAACCTATGGACTCGTCTCCCCCCGACCCTTCCCTTCCTCCCCCACAACGACGGCGGCGGCGCCGCCCCCCCACCGTCAGGTCTCCACCTAGGAGCCTACCCACCCCTTCCTAACACAGATTTGAGCTCCCCTCGACCTGATCTATCCATCCATGGGGTCGGTGGAGGGGTTCCGGCGCTCCTCGACGAGCCTGCCTCTCCGGAGTGCGCCTTTGGAACCTACGCCTCCCCTCAGCCCAGCTAGCCAGGAGGCCACTCAGGCGCTGGTGGCCAGCACCAACCCCTCCCCCAACCCCAATCCCAGCCTGCCTGTTTCCCTAGGCGAGGAGGCCACGCCCATGACGAGGACGCAGTTGTTGGAGGATGAGGTCGTCATCGAGGACATCTTGGAAGTCGAGGACGAAGATGAAGATGATGATGACGATGCGGCTCCTGCCCCCGCGTCCACCGCCAACCTCCTCCACGGCGTGCACGTGGCGTGGGCACCGCCGCCGTCGACTGCGTCGCCATCGTCACTGCGACCGACAAGCACCCATCTCCGAGGCCATCAAAATCCCTCTCCCCCCACGCTGCCCCTTCCATCCTGGAGGCAGCTTGATGGGGCGCTCCAAGGCTAGTCGTTGGGCAGACGCTGACCTCGGCACGGGCAGCTCCAACGACGAGCCCACTTCTGCTGCCACGCGCCCGTCGTACCTAGACGCCACTCGCAAGGCTCTTCGAGCCACGCCTCCGCCGCCAGCGGGCGCTCTGAACATGGCGCAGCGTGTAGCGGCCGTGAAGGGAACTCACCCGTTGCCTACAAGGGGGAAGCGACGTCATCGGCGTAGGACCAGTGCTCCTGATGGCCATGGGACACCGCCGCCGCAGGCCGCGCGAGTGCCCGCGCAACGTCGCCTTGACCCACAGCAGGCGGCAAGGGTCCCGGTGCATCAGCGCCTCGGCCCACGGCGTAGGGCGTCGGTGTCTGGCACGTCTCAGTAGCCCCGTCGAGGGCCCAACGTCGATGCCGATGGTTTCTAGACTGTCGAGCGTCATCGCCACCGGCGCTGTCCAGGGAAAGCGGCACCCAAACGCCACCACCCCATCCCACCGGAGTCAACTGCCTAGTGCACGACCACATCGCCACTCAATGTCGCTCTCCGTCCCGCTGCTTCCGCTGCCGGGGTACCGGCCATCAGGCCAGGGTGTGCACGCGTGGTCGTTCACCGGTGTGCAAGCGAGTGCAGTCATCAGCGTGTAAGCCTTCATCCTCGCTGGCACGTTGCCCCAGCCAGAGTGCCTCTAAGGGACGTCACCCCACTGGTCTAAGGCGTCCCAGCTCGTCGCCAGAATGTCGCGCTGTGCAAGGCCAGACGCCGACAAAGTCTTCGCCTTGTTGTGTGCAGCGGACGACCGCGTCGTTATCGTCGCCGTAG